CTTGTCTATGGTCTGTCTTGCCCTCTTGTGCTCAAGGGATCAAGAAAACATTAAAGTGTGTAGTTATTCTTATTTGGATTTTAATAGAAATAAAAATTAATAAGTTTTAGATGTACCATACAAACATTCAATATTTGCAAAGACTGCAACAAGATCACCATGAAAACTTACTTAAGATTCATCATCAGAGTAACAAAAACATGCTTCTTAACCCAGTGTGGACTTTAAGATCTCTCTCGGCAACTTTTAAACACGCAACATGGTATTATTAACTTTAGTCAGGAGCCTGTAGATTACCTCCCAGGATTTATTTATTTCATATCTGAGTTTTTTTCCCCTTTGGATCACCTTCATGTATTTCACATGCCCACAACCCCTCTATCTCTGGCAATTATCAGTCTGTCTATCAAAGATCTTGGTTTGGGGTTTTTTAGATTTCACATATAAGCAAGATTATGTACTTGTCTTTCTCTCCTTGATTTACTCCACTGAAAATAATGCCCTCAAAGTTCACCCATGTTGACACAGATAGCAAGATTTCACTCCTTTACATAACTGAATCATATTGTCGTGTGCGTGTGTGTGTGTGTGTGTAAACAGATCACATCTTTACCCGTTCTTTCATTAATAGAGACTCAGACTCTTTAAGAATCTTGATATTGTAAATAAATCAGGTCCAATGAATACGAGAAACAGCTCTTCCAAAGAGTACTTATAGGGCCAGAGAGAAAATACAGAAGGTAAGGTACTTGCCCTATACACAGTCAACCTGAGTTCAATCCCCGGAGCTGCGAATAATCCCCTAAGCACTAGCACTAGTGATGGCTGAGCACGGAGCCAGGAGTAAGCCTGCCCCCACCAATAGTGTTTTCATTTCCTGGATGAAATGAAAACTGGATAATTACCTAGAACTGGAACTAGAACAGGGCACAATTTCATTCCTTTGCAAATGGTCATTCAGTTGATCCAAAGTCATTTATCTAAGAGATTATAATTTGCCTGTTGTGCATTTTTGGCTCTTTTCCTATCAATTAATACGTGTGTGGATTCATCTTTTTATCCAGTGCATTCCTCCGATCTATGAGACTATTTTTATAGCAGTACTGTACTGCCTTCCTTACAGTACCTTGATAATATTACTGGAGATGGTAAATGCTACATCTCGTGCAGTGCTGTCCTCTCTGAAGACTTTTGCCTTTTGGGTTACCTAAAATCTTAAGTTTGTTTTTTCTTATGTCTGTGAAAAATGCCATTGGAAATTTGACAGGGAACACACTGAATCTTTAGGTTGTCTTCGGTAGTATAGAAATTTTAACCATATATTTCTTATCCACGAGTACAGAGTAGATTTCATTCTTTTTATTTGTATCATATATATATGATATCATATTGCATATAAAATATGTATATTGTATATATGTACAATATATTTAATATTGTATCATATGTATACATACACATATATATGATACAATATGATAAACCCGCACCACACTGGATAAATTCACACCATTATTGTTGGAAAAGATAACTGATAAGATTTAAATCTTAAGTTTATTAAGTCTTTTTTTTGTGTGTGGCCTAACATCAGACCCTTCCAAAGAGAGCCCGTGTGCACTGGAGAGAGATGAGTTGCATTCTGCTGCTTTGATATGGAATCGTCAGCATATACCTGTTCAATTTATCTGGCATACTATGTCATTTAAGGCTCATGTTTACTTACTGCTTTTCAAGGTGGGTGATTTATCCACTGATCTAACTAGGATATTAAAATTCCCTCCAATTATTACATCTCTGTATATGTCTCCCTTTGCATCCGTTAGTCTTTGCTTTGTATATTTTAGCTCTCCTATGTTTGGGACATAAATATTAACAAATGCTATATCCACTTATTGGACTGACCCTTTTATCATTACGTACGGTCCTTCATCTCTTATGACAGTCTTTGTTTTAAGGACTGAACGATCGGTTTGAGGCTCTTCGTGTTCCTAGAACGAACAGACGCCATTGGGCTACACTAGCACGCAACAGGGACAGATGGAGACGTTACTGGCACCCGCTTGAGCAAATCGATGATTAACAGGAAGTCAAGTGATCAAGCTTTAAGGACTATTTTTTTCAACATAAGTATCCAGCTGCCTTTACTTTTCAGTTGCACAGAACACCTTGTTCTATCCCTCCACCGTTAGCCTGTGTGTGTGTGTGTGTGTGTGTGTGTGTGTGTGTGTGCGCGCGCGTGCTGACAGCTGATCTAAGTCTCTTGCAGGCCATGAATAGCTGGGGCTTATTTTTTTTTTCTGGTATTTCTCCATACCATGAATTTTATTCCCACTTGAGCACTTCTAAAATTAATGTATAAAATGCTGTTTTAAGATATCGAGAAAGTTTCTAGCCATGAAGTCTTTTTCCCGGGGTTGCTGAACAACGGGCACGAAGATCAAAGCATGAGAGTTGCAATGACAAACACGCAGGAAACTTGTGCTAGAAAGGAGACCTCATTGGGGTGTTCGTGCCACTCGTCTGGTGTCCTCACAAGCACTCCCTGATACAGGGAAAACTGACCACAAGTAAGTGGGCAAGTTCCACCCTGAGAGAGTTTGGCTTCATGCGGAATTAAACCACCTCTCAGTGAAGAGGAGAGATTTCTTTAAAAAAACCAAGAGTGGCTGGGTGTTGGAACACCTGTATAATTGTATAATTCTGTCTTATGACAGAAACCTAATCATGAACAGCTTTGTAAGGTTCTATCTTACAGTGATTCAATAAAAAAAAAATCTTTAAAAATAAATAAGTAAATAAATGAAAAATTTTTTAAAAAGACCTTATAGGGCCTTCTTTCTGGGCTGTTTGACCATCACTAAGCAAGGATTGTTATGAAAGGGACTAAGAATAAGTACTGTCAGAGAATGTGCGGGCCAGGCTCCCATGTGACTGCAATAATGGCAAAAGTGGAGACTCGCTGTGAGAGAGGAGACAGGTAAGTGCCTCAGTGAGGCAAGGCTGAGCAAACTGAGAACCAAGGGCTCTGGGGCCCCGGCAGTCGCTGAGGTGTTTGCCCTACACGCAGCTGACAGCGGTTTGACTCCCAGGCCCATGCAGAGCTCCGTGAGCCTGGTCAAGAGTGACCGCTGACGAGATCAGTACCAGGAGGATTACTCCATGGCTTAGAGGCCAGCCGAGCATGCTAGGGGAAAGGGCAGCTCAGATAGAGAAGGGAGCACCAAATAAAGGGTGTTTGGAGGATCCTCCCAGGAGGGGGGACACATGTTGAAAGTAGACTATGGACTGAACCTGTTTGCCACTCAATGCCTCTTTTGCAGACCACAACACCCAAAAGGAGAGAGAGAACAAAAGGGAATGCCCTGCCACAGAGGAAGGGTGGGATGGGGGGATGGGGGGGTGGGAGGGATACTGGGATCCATGGTGGTGGGAAATGGGCACTGGTGGAGGGATGGGTATTTGATCACTGTATAATCGAAACCCAAGCACAAAAATTTGTACGTCTACAACTGTACTTCATGGTGTTTCACTAATAAAAATTTAAAAAAAAAAAAAAAGAATGACCACTGAGCACAGAGCCAGGAGCAAGCCCTGAGCTCTGCCGACTCTGACCCAACTAATCCCCCAAATGAGTTCAGTAAAAATAGTAATCAAGGCGTTTTTTTGACCATAACCATCCCATTGAATCCCAATTGGATTCCAATTGAATCCTAAATACCATGGTTTCATCTACAGCATATACCTAAATCCTAGCATATTCTTAGAGTTCCTGTGCTCACGTCAAAAACTCACGTTCCCTAAGAAAGAATAATTAAGAGGATTTGATTTCGCCAGGAAGTGGAGAGAGCAGCTCTCTGTCCAGAAGAAGGAAGCTGGCCTGGAGGAGGTCACTACCAATGGAAGAGTCAATGCCTGCCTGGAATTAGACTCGGATACATTCCTAGCAATCACCATCCTTTCCTGGACTTCCTCCAATTCCAATCCTTAAGACACAGAACACTGAGATCCTTGAAACTGCTCCAGGGCGACCCTGGTGCCAAAGAACTTCTCAGATGTGACCTAGGCAAGTCCTCGCTTGGGTACCACGACTGCCAAGTCTCAGAGCTACTCAACAAGCACAGAAAAGCTTTAGGATAGATGCTCGATCCTTCCCTCAACCAGGGCTCACCTTCAGGAGGTTGAAAAAAAAAAAAAGGAAAGCTGTTGTTTGAATGACTAATGGCCTATGCGTGTGGGTGCATCTGTCAAATGAAGATTAGTGGAGACGGTTCTCTATGGACCTAGAAAAATCTAAACTAAAGCCATGGGTAAGATATCAACAAAACTAAATCCATCACCGCCCTTTGGTGTTTACAGAGCACCTCTGACTTCATAAGCTGAGTCGCAGGGCAAGAACATAAATCAGATCTGATGAGCTAGACGAACCACTGAAACAAGGTAGAGTATACGACTCATTGAAGAAGTTAACAAAACACGGTACGAGGGTCAGAACAAATTTTGATCTGCTTCCATGCCAGCTCGAGAGATAGAATTCACCTGCCACACTCCGATCAAGTCCGTCGGCCTGGATCAGGGAATTATAGTCAAGGGTTGTAAACAGAGGGAGAGATAACCCAGGCATAATTATCCTCAAATAATTTTCCCACTCGGGGAAAATGGAAAGTTCTATTTTGATTTCAAGTACCATCTAAATATTTAAACTGAGACCCGACTCCGGATAACATATTAATTCCCCTATCATTAAGAGCATAAGTTACAAAAATTTCAAGGCAATTTTTCTTCATGAAACATAAACTCAAAAACCTAAAGAGCCCAGGGGCTTTTGCCAAGAGTCTTAAGTAACAGAGCCATCACTCACGGTGCAGGGACCCATGTCCAGCCCGAACCCAGTTCCAGCTGCGTTTCTCTGGACAGTCTTGCGCCGGACTCGGCTGAGTCAAGTCTATACGGAACTTTTAGACAGTGAGGAATAATAGAAAGTTGTGACAAGAAGCACTCACTTTTCGATATCGATGCCAAGTGGGTTTGCAGGACGGAGGGACAAGGGGCTAATTCCTTTGTTCCTGTCGGTGCGCATGTCATAATAATTCATCTCGTCAACCCATACTGCCGACTGATCCAAAATACCTGCCCAAACGGGAAGCATGTCATTAATAGGAGTCAGATGTCCCGCCACCTGAGTCTGGTCACCCTATTTGGCTTTGAAAAGCCTCACACAAGAGGCACCACGAGGTTGTTTTCAAGAATTTTGAGGGTGCACAAGTTCACTCTTTTTAATGGGTGGCAACTTAATTAAAACCACTGGGAAACTACTTTTTTTTTAAAAGAAAAAAAAAAGGCTAGAATGACACCTCTTGGTTTTGAGGTCCATTGTACATTAGCCAACAGAAAAGGAAAAGTAAGTCTCAGAGAAGAGGTTATGCTGACACAAATGTATTTTACAATTCACGGTACGATTAATCTGGTAAATTTAACATAATGTGTACACAGACGTAGAGAATTTTTCCCTAAATTCCTTTCCTTAAGTTCCTTAAATTTTTATTTCTTTGCCCTAGAATTGAATTCTAAATGAGCATATGGATTTTGACAGAAAGATTATGAAATGCATGCATCATCCATCAATTTATTCAACTCACAATGAATGAATGCCAAATATATACCATGATGAGGCTTCATTTTAGGGCTTTTATGGTCCTAAGCACAAGCTTCTCCTCCGTTATAATACCCTATGTCTATTTCTTCATCTGTCTTACATAACATAAAAAAAACCTAAAACAAAACTGACTATTAAAAAAATTATTTTCAAAAACTAGCAATCTAAGGAAGAAAATGCTTCCAGAAAGGGTCTACACCCTAAGATTTAAAAAAACCCAAGACAATCTGAAAAATTATTTACCTTTCTACATTAGAGAGAAGAAGGGCCTGGGTTTAATTATGTCTGCGATATTCCTACTACACAAATATTTATCGAGTACTCACCATGTGTAAGGCATTAGGGAAGCACAAAAATGAAAGATAGTATTTTTATTTCATAGAGGTGAGGGTCATGAAAAGAACGAGCTACAAGAATTTTAAAGGATTAATTTATTGAGCACTTACTCTGTGTAACGGGCGATGCTAACCACTTTACAGTACGTGTGATCGCACTCATTTACTTAGGAAATGGGGTATTTTTTTCCCAGAGAAAGAAATCACAGAGCATCAGAAAGCCCCAATCACCGTTTGCCCTTCACCCAGGTCTGTAACTAGGACAAAGCAAAAGGAACATTTTTATGCCCTGGGGTACAGAGAACAGTGGTTATTCCCAGCTTGAAGGAGCAATGTCAGGTGAGAAAATCTGAAGGAAAAAGAATATTACTCCGATCATTTTATTGTTCGTTTAGCCAAACAAAGAGGCCATTTTACCTCAAATCTTCACCATGTTCTAGAAGTTGATTAAGCAAATAAAACTGGCATGATTAAAACATTTAAGGGCAGACACCAGAATTCTGATTTCTCTCACAACCACTTCCCGAGCTCAGCCAATTGCTTTTTCAAAAGTAATTTTAAGCAGTGTCTCATTCCTGTCAAAATCAATGTGAGCCGGACAGAAGTCAAAGAAGTATGAGAGTGGATACGCTGTAGACCTATCTATCGGGTTTGCATTTTAAAAGACAAAGTCCTTTTTCATTCTTCCCTTTAGAATGAAATCAGAAAAGACGGTACCTATTTTTTCGGGCTTGAGGAGCTTGAAAGACACGGTTGAGGTTCCTTTGCCACCTGACTTGGTTGTGACAATAATGTCCCCTTTGTCGTTTTTGGCTTGGCCGACCCGGCATACGATTTTGCTCGCCGACATCCATTCTGCCGTCAGAAGGCAATTGTGGCCACAGATTGTCAAACCTGAAATGAAAGCAAGCGTATGACAGACTTCAAAAGCAACCCCCAAACCTTCGACAGGGCTAGCACATCGGAAGGGCCTTCGTCTCTTGCCCAGGATGGCCAGGTCTTTTGCAGGAACTGAAAAGTCAAGAGATGAATAGGATTCCCTCTCAACGGTCATTTCTATGACGGGATCGATTCGATATTCTTTGCACACAGATGCCATCTCTACGGATTTTTATTTGCTGTTGTTTTTCTCAAAGTACAGAAAACGTCCTTAAAGCAACATTTCTCAATGCCTCACCCCTCCCAGCAGCTTGCCCTCCCCACCTTCCACCCCCAAGGGCTCCAGCAGGAAGATGCTGCTTGCCAAGATATTCCAGGGCACCGGGACATAAAGCAGGAGGGCCACAGCATCAAACACGGGAGCCAACCAGAACAAGAGTAGTGTCACAGGAAAGGTCAGAAGTGGCAAAAGTCAGTAAAAGGCTGAGAGGCCCTGCTATAGGAGTGTGTGTGCACGTGCATGCGTGTGTGTGTATGCGTGTGCGTGTGCGTGTGCGTGTGTGTGTGTGTGTGCGTGTGTGTGTGTATAGGGGGACAGGCAGGGGCAGCTGGGAGTTGGGCCACACCTGGTGGTGCTCAGGGCTTACTCCTGGCCCCAGAACCACTTGTGCTGGGTGTTGGGGCACCTTATATGGTGCCAGGGATTGAACCTGGGTTGGCTGCATACCAGGTAAGTCCCTTACCTGCTATACTATCTCTCCCACACTTCAGATGACATTTGAGTCTCTACACACATCAGTGAAATTAGAAAAGAATGACCGTAACAATTACGTCTGGGCAACTGGGATTACTCACTTAAAGTGTTTTCCTAGGTATTAGAAGGGAAATCAAATTAGCCCAATTATTAGACACCTGAGCTATTGACTGAAAGTTCTAAAGTGCGTCGGTAAGTGTTATCATTCTTTAAAAACATTCTTTTTTCACCCAACTTCCTGCAGGTCACACGTAGGCATTTTCACAAGCATTTAATTATAAATGCCCATGCAGAAAAGATATCCTCTCTACCAACATGAACCTGAAATTAAAGCTAGCAAATAACAAAGTCTGAAACCAATACCCAGACCTTCGACATGGCTATCACATGAAAAGACCTTGCCTCTCCTGTCAGTAGGACCGGGTCTTTTGCATGAACTAAGATTTCTTTCAACTTCAATGACGGGATCTATTCAATACTATTTGCAAACAGACTGCAAATAGTATTATTTGCAGGTTATTTTTTTTTCCTTCCAACCCTGCCTTGAGTCTGTCAGCCAATGCAGCCAGACATCTTGGGCACTGGTGGGTAGTAACTAAGCATGCACTTGACTTCGCCTTCCTGCTCAGCAGTGATGCGGGACTGGGCCTCATCCTGCTCTCACAAGAAATCTTCACTGCAACACTGTCTGACGTCTCAGAACAGGCAGAGCTGCCTGCAGGTGACTGCAGCAGACAGTGGGAGAGAGACTCACTCGGAAGCAGCACCCAGACTCCACAAGAGACTCAGCCGGCCGGTCTCCTACCCAATGTGCGAGTCTGTACCTGCAGCACAGAGGTGAGTCCGCCAAATATTTATGGAGAAAACCCATCTGAAGTGCATGTGATCGAGGCCCAGACACTTTACACTTTCCTTTCTCATGATTTCACTTTTTATACCATTCAGCAGTCAAATTTGGCAGATACAATTTTTTTTTCAGTCACTAGGAATACCTCAACTAAGGCCAAACTTGGTGGGGAAAACCCAGAGAAAGGATTACTTAAGGCATTTTTTTTGTTGTTATAATTGAAAGCACTAGCTAGCAAGAATGCGGTACAAGCTAAGAGAAAGATGATAAATATGAACATCTTAACAATATTTATGAAAGTAATAAGTTGTAGGGATTTCCCTGAAATAGCTATTGTCTATTCACATATGAAATTTCTGAATTCACACATGCTGTTTTTCTAGAAACAGCATTATATTCCTTTATGACCAAGTTTTCAGCAGGGATGTTTAAATGTATAATGACATTTACATCATTTTTAATGTCTTCATAATGCAAAAAGTCTTCAAGGTAGGCAGATCTTTAATACCTTTCCTGGGAGTCAATTTATGTTAAAAAAAATTAACAAAATTGAAACTCTAAGTACTTTAAGAGATAAAATGCACGCTGGCAAACCTCTCCGCCATTAAAATAAGTACTGAGAAAAAACTCAAGGTATAATTGCTCAAAGGATTTTTATGCACACAGAAATTGGTCTATAAATTTTAATGACTGGGAATGTTTTTAAACATGAAACTGTTTTAGATAAAGAGGTGGCTGCTTTATGTAACTATAGGTCAATATTATAATACTATTATATTATTGCTACATTTAAATTTTATAGTACCAAAATGATTCTGTGGCTTCAAAAGTTACCTCACTTTCATAAAGGAGAAGAACTCAAAACTAACTGTCAGCGGCAATGTAAATTCATACCCGTGTCCTCTCCAAAGAACGATGTTATGATCAAAACTGAAGATTGGATGGGGGCCTGAGAGATAGTGCAGTGGGTAGGGTGCTTGCTTGTAAGTAGCCAACCCAGGTTCGATCCCTGACAGCCCAATAGAGTGGTGTCCCATTTCCCAGCAGGAGTGATCCCTGAGCACCACCAGGTATGAACCCAAAATCAAAAACAAAAAAGTTAAGATTGGGAATGAATTTCATATACACAGACAAAAAAAATCTTAAACATGTTCGGAGCAGCAAAGATGAATGATATACATAGGATAGGACAAGAAGGGAGGGAAAAAAAAATCTACCCAAAATGACAGTTTCTGCATCTGGCTGGATCCACTATCAAAGTCCCTCTGATTTAATCTGAACTTCATTTTAACTAATAAAGTCAATATTGACCATATAGTTTAAACATCGATTCAAAGAGATCATTTTAAATGTCATAAAAATTAAATCATATTATAAGACCAATTTCTTACTCTCTTAAGCACATTTTTGCCAGGTTCCTGAAAGCTAAGAAATCTGCTTCGTGAAATATAATAACATTTTTAAAGTAACTTGTAGAATTCCAAATATAGTTTTTTCGAATAGTGTTTTACTTGGCCCGTGCAGATGTCATCTGAGTTAAAAACACTTAAATTATTTAGTAGATTAAGTTTGCTTTTTTAAAAAATGGTTTTTTTGGCAGGTTGAAAGTTGAACTAGCACAAGGTTTATAAAAGTAACACACACTCGGTCAAAAAATGAAGAGCTCTGCCTGAAGCGAAAGCAAGATTAAAATGCATATGGCCTAGTACTGTCACCTTGGGGAGCTCATAATAACCGCCAGTTAAAACTGGAGACATGTCTTCCATCTATACTACTTCCATGCATTCTGGGCTTTATCCTATTTTCTGAGAATAAAGAAAAATTTGGAATGAGCTCCTTTAAAAAAAATATGCCATAGGTAAGACTATCTTCACAAGGGGAAAATTTATTCCTGATAGCCTTTCAGTATCTATATTGCAAACCACAATGTCCAAAAGAAGAGAGATGGGGAGGGAAGGTGGGGGGAAGAGAGAGAGAGAGAGAGAGAGAGAGAGAGAGAGAGAGAGAGAGAGAGAGAGAGAAGTGCCTATCATAGAGGCAGGCAGCAGTGGGTGGGGGGTGAGGGGTGATGAGAGGGAACCTGGGGATACTGGTGTTGGAAAATGTACCCTGGTGGAGGTATGGGTGTTGGAACACTGTAGGACCGAACCCTAGTCATGAACAGCTTTGTAATACTCTATCTCACAATGATCCAATAAAAAATACATAAATAAATAAATAACTGTCACTGTCCTCCCGTTGTTCATCAATTTGCTCAAGCGGCCACCAGTAACGTCTCCATTGTGAGACCTGTTGTTACTGTTTTGGGCATATCAAATACTTCACAGGGAGCTTGCCAGGCTCTGCCGGGCTGGTAGGATACTCTTCGGTAGCTTGCTGGGCTCTCCAAAAGGGACGGAGGAATCGAACCCAGGTTGGTCATGTGCAATGCAAACACCCTACCCACTGTGCTATCGCTCCAGCCCAAATAAATACTGTCACTGTCACTGTCTTCCCGTTATTCATCGATTTGCTCGAGTGGGTCCAGTAACATTGTGAGACTTGTGAGACTTGTTGTTACTGTGTTTGGCATATCAAATACGTCACGGGTAGCTTGCCAGGCTTTGCCGTGCGAGCGAGATACTCTCGGTAGCTTGTCGGGCTCTCCGAGAAGGACAGAGGAATCGAACCCAGGTCGCTCTGTTTGTTTGCGTGCAAGGCCAACGCCCTACCTGCTGTGCTATCGCTCCAGCCGAAATAAATAAATAAATATAATAATCAACCAGGGCTAAAGACATAGTAGGTAAAGGTAAAGGTAAAGGCCCTCCCGTTGATCGTCGATTTGCTCAAGCGGGCCCAGTAACGTCTCCATTGGAGACTTTGTTGTTACTGTGTCTGGCATATCGAATACTCTCGGTAGCTTGCCGGGCTCTCCGAGAGGGGCGGAGGAATCGAACTCGGGTCGGCCATGTTGGCCGCTTGTAAGGCGAACGCCCTACCCGCTGTGCTATTGCTCCTTGCTCTGCACACAGTCCAACCTGAGTTTGATCCCCAGCGCCCCAAGTCCTACCAGGGGTGATCCCTTGCCCACAGAGCCAGGAGCAAGACCTGAGCACAGCTGGGTGTGGTCCGAAAACCAAATAAAAGAAAAAAGAAATCTGAGTTAAATGTGTTGAAGAGCCAAACAGCATAGCTAGAGAGAGCCCAGGGTGTGTGTGGGGCCACATGGCGGAGCAAAGGTCTCACACTGGCCAGGCCCTGGCTTCAGTCATGGCACCACGCTGGCAAAAATGTGATCCTAACCATGAAGACATAAAGCCAGGGTGCCTGCATTTGGGGTCCGATCAGTCTGTCCGACCCCAATAATGCTTTTCCATCCCAGTCACCACTCCCAAGTCCTGTGTCTGGCCCGACATAAAGATGCAGCTCTCTTTAAATGCAGTGCCATCTCTGCCCTTACCTATGAGGTCCATGGGGCCAGTCCCCAAGTTTTCTCCTCTAATTGTGACCTTCGTCCATGGGATTCCTTCATTGGGAGAAATGCCCGTCACCAGGGGGGGTTGACGGGACCGAGACATGGTGATTTGTGGCCCAAGTCACAGAAGTAACCTGTTAAAAGAGAATGGATTTTTAAAAAAATAAAACATTGAATGTCAACTGAGAAAAGCATTGGCTAAAACTAACAGAATGCTGGATGCTGAATACAAAATAGAAAAAAGGAGCCATCCACATGCACACGCGCGTGCACGCGCGCACACATACACACACACACACACACAAACACACACACACAAACACACACACACACACACACACACACTTCTGAATTTCCAGTCTGCATATAGCAATGTCAACTGATTGAAGGACATTCTATTTAGTACTGCCAGCAAGAGTCACAGAAAAGCAGAAAAGAAGCCCTCGCTTCCGGGAACTTTGAACATGATAACAGAGAGAACTTAATGCCACCCTGACTTCCTATGCTATAACACCTTTAGAACATGATCACGTGATCACTTGACATCCCGTTAATCATCCATTTGCTCAAGCGGGTGCCAGTAACATCTCCATTCGTCCCTGCTGCGTGCTAGTGCAGCCCAATGGCGTCTGTTCATTCTAGGAACACTAAGAGCCTCAAACCGATGGTTCAGGGTCTTAATGAAGAAGTCTGACCATCTTGTAGGTGAGCGGCCACGCGGTCTTTTGACGTCCCATGGAATCCAGTCGGTAACAGCTCTAGTACAGCCGTCATCTCTAAATCTCATTAGGTGATCAGCCCATCTGATTTTTGATGCCTTGGCAAACGAGACAGCATCCCTGATTCTTGACCTTGGACAGGTCGGAACTCCGGATTCTATCTCTCATTTGAGTGAAACATGATACTCCAAGCATAGCTCTTTCGATTCCTCATTGGGAGACAACATGATGCTAAAAGCAAAAGAAGTCGAGCAGAAGGACCAGCAACTGGGACTTTCTGTTGTAGTTATTAAATGTCTTGAGTAGACCAATTGGCAGAGACCAAAGGCAGATTAGTAATTCTCAACCCTCGGGAGGAAAAGGAAGGTAAAAGGAAATGGAGAAACTGGCCGATGGCCTTCCTTTATGGGATAACAAACATTCTAACATTAACTGCATCACCCTTCAAATATTTGGTATGTTTGTATCAAAGCTGAATTATTGAAAATAATGCTTTAATTATAAATCAGATTAAGTTTCTGCTACCAATCAATTCTTGTTTTTTTTCGGGGCTACACCCCATGGTGCTCAGAGCTTACTCTTGGGTCTATGCTCAGGGGTCACTCCTGGTGGGACTCGGGGGACCCTATGTGGTTCAGGATTTGAGCCCAGGTTGGCCATCTGCAAGGCAAGTGCCTACAAACTGCACCATCTCTCAGGCCCCGACTAATTGACTCTTAAATCCTGCTCTTAACGTCAAAATCAAAAGATTATATTAGATGTTATTTTCACACTGAACATTAACAAAATACACATCAAAGCAATGCATGAACTTACATTAAGTAAGTTATACTAGGTGACTCAAGGGTTAGGTGTATGTAAAATTTGAGTTTTAGAAATAAGTACTATTTTAATGGGACATACTATTATTTCCTCATGCATTCCCAAACATGGGCATGGAAATTTTCCTTTGAGAAAATGCTGGAAAAGTATTCTAAATTAAAAAACCTAAAACTAATCAAGATAACACATATTAATAAAAAATACTTCAAAAGACTATAGACATATTTCAACACGAAGTTCCAACAACTGCTTTAATAAAATTATCCCAAAGATACCACAACAAAACAAGAAAAATAAAAGAAAGAATAATTAACCTGCCTCATTGATTAATGTCTATGGACTAATTCTCGACAAAGGAAAATGATATATTCTATTGGTGTGTATCTATTGGAAAATCAACCACCACCAAGTGATGATTTAATTCTCTTGACACTGTTGGTCCCTGTCTGCTGTATTAGATCATAAGACAGATTAGCATGTGGGCTCATCTGATTCCTTCCAGAATCAAGACTAGGTCACATACCAATGTTTAAGAAAAAAATATTCTGGGGCTGGAGCGATAGCACAATGGGTAGGGCATTTGCCTTGCACGCAGCTGACCGGGTTCAATTCCCAGCATCCCATATGGTCCCCTGAGCACCGCCAGGAGTAATTCCTGAGTGCAGAGTCAGGAGTAAGCCCTGTGCATCGCCAGCTGTGATCCAAAAAGAAAAAGAAATCTACTGGGTGAGGAGAGGGAGAAAGAGAGGGAGACAGAGAGAGGGAGAGAGGTAGGGGAGGGAGAGAGAGAGAGATAAGGCAGCAGGTAAGGCCCTTGACTTGCATACGGCCAGTCCATGGCCTATCCCTGGCACCCCAGATGGTCCCCCAACCCCTGCCAGGAGTGATCCCTGAGAGCAGAGCCAGGAGAATTGAGTACTGCCAGTGTGGCCCCAAAACCAGCAAACAGAAAAACAAAATTAGAGAGATAGTCAACGATTTGACATGGTGGCTGTGGGGGGTAGGCGTGGCTTCCGAGGCTTCTAGAAGTACCGAGGAGTGGGGGGGTAGCGGTCAACTGCCCAGCTTGACTCTAAGAAGACACCAGAGTACTCAGCCTGGGCACCAGCACATACCTGAAATTATTCAATTGTACAATCCATATAAGACTGAGAAAGAGCTTTCTAAAGCAAAATTCTCATCAACTTTCATTAAATGTCCCATTTTCCTCACAAAGATTTTCCAAATGCAATAAAATAAGGACCTTTGAAAATCTTTCATAAGATCTTTCTTATGTAAAGACACTGAAGGACCAAAGCGATAATAAAATGGGTAGGTCTTGCCTGTCACATGGCGATGTGGATTCGATCCCTGGGCACCCCATATCAACCCCGATCCCACCAAGAGTGATCTCTGAGTGCAGAAACAGGTATATGCCCTAAGCACAGCTGCGTACGGCCCCCAAATAAACAAAGACGCTGAACAAAAGTCTGGTTTTGCATATTTTAAGCCTCACTCATTTAACTGAAATAATACACATTCTTTTAATACAGCCACTTAAAACAAATGGAAGAGGAAAGGAATAAAGTAAATGAATCTGTCCTAAAGTAGACATCAGAACTATTTGTTGAAAGCATAGATGATAAAGAGAAGAGCAGTTATTAGCACTGGAGTCAGAAGGAAAATTCTTGCAATTACAGAATGAGCTACTTTCATTAGGCAATATCCTGCCACGAGTTCACTAGCAATAAGAACTGAGCACTAGAGCAGGGTGCGTGGAAAAGTGTGACGGTGCTGGAGGTTGAGGGGGGGTTGCACATCCATACAGGGATTGACAGAGGAGCCACGAGATATTACACAAAGGCTGTAGCCTAAGAACCACACTAGCAACTAACACTCTCCCAGTTACCAAAGTTATAGGATTGCTTCAAGCACACACACACACACACACACACACACACACACACACACACACACTCGCACACGCACACGCACACAATTTTCATGTCTCTCCAAGCACTTTCTTAACTATTTGGGTCTGAATAGGAGAAACAGAAATATGAGGGTCTTCAGAGAAATGAGCTAGCTCATAGGCACTTGATTGATTTCTTTTGACATGGATATGGTATCGATTTGTTTATTCACTGAATAAACATATACATGTGAACAATCTTTTTTCTGAGAGCAGCTATATTTAAAAAAAAAATAGTTGACGTCTGTCATATGAATAAAGCGATTTCCTAGAAGAATAAAAATCAGAGTGAAAAACACACTTCCTGAAAAAGAAAGTACTAAGTACATGTCACTAGTTATTTTATTTCTATGACTACAGTGACACAAAAAGGCATAAGCATGTTCCCTCTCCTCGGTCGTCTTTCTCTAAAATAAAAAAAAAATGAAAGAAGCTAAAATAACTTCTAAACTTAATGCTTTGATTTGGTTAATGTAAGGCTTGATTTTCTATAGAATTCTAATTTTGGTGGCAAGCAAATCAAGTCCTTTCTACCTTTAAAAACAATGGACACCTTCACACAAGGACAGCACAACAATGTTCTCCTAAAAAAAGATTCTGGATTTTTTTCTTCTCCACTTAAATCTGACTTTTATAATTAAGTAACACATTAGCCAAACTAATTTCCACATACAGATGTGCATACTGATCTAAGCTCTGCTCAATACTTAACAGCTGAGAACAGTTTGAAGTCTTCTAAACTTGGGTGCTAACATAATTAACAAAAACTCTTGGTTACTTTGTGCTCTCTGAAAGTATTTGCTGATAAATAAGATACCTGATAAGTCCATCTCCAAGGTCTCTGTTATTTTTTATTCTACTTACCAGGTAATGCTTTTAAATTCAATTACTAAGATAAGCCTAATAAAACTCATAGCCCTTGGCTTGGCTCAAATTAAATAAGATTATGTTATTCATTTTTAAATTTCTCGGAAGCATTTTTTAAACTATATCACTGGAAGGTTCTGAAGTTTTCAGACCTTAATCTATATGTTAAGAATATAAGATGGTCTCCTTTTTTTTAACTGGAAAAGGGTTTTCTTTAACTGCAACATTTAACTCTTCCAGTTAAACAGTTTGAAGAGAATCATCCCTAATTTTTCAAAAGTTGTATTTTCAACAGCAAACCATAGAAACTTTACAGATATAGTTTGTGAAGAAACTATGAAAAATAAATTATTAATAATCCACCATAGATTGAATGCAATGAAACTATTTTTAAAGACAAAACTATAGCGTATTTATAATTACCAGCTTGTTTTTAATACAGAGACACAGAAAAAAAAAAACCAAAAGAAGAAATAAAAATTTAATTAAAAATTTAAAAATAACTTGACTATGGCTTAACAATTTTCACTTAACAAACCAAACAAAAAATTGGAGGAAATGGTAGAAACAATGATAATAAATCATTTGTAACTGCACAGAAAAAAAAAAATCAACCCACGGGTCAAATAATTTTTTCACTATGTTAAATCATTAGTTTTGCATTTAGAGTCTACAAAAATGCTGATGACAACAGGCGGCTTTTAAAAAATCATTTTCAATTTTCACAGAGCTTAAAAATATTCATACAGCAATTTTATGCAACTCAGATGTTACA